CACCCCCCTCCCACTTAAATATCAAGACTGCTGTTTGCCCATTTACGTCTGAATGTATAGACTCAAATAAATGATTCACTTACGCGGTACAAAACACACAACACTAGCATAGTTGTCTTTATGACATTTTCTTCCTCTCCATACTGTATTACGCCGACACTGAAACAAAGACGTTTCAGTTCCACGGCAGTGTACTTTTTTAATCCAGGTTGGACTAGTACCAATACCAAAGACTACGCTGTGTGGTGCAGCCACTGCTCTCGGTAGACCCAGGGAACGACAGACCACATTAGCATTGTTCAAATCCCAACTGCGCCACGAGCTCCAAAAACCCACGGTATAGCAGATCTTTCGCCAATGACCCTTGTAGAAAATCTCAACGCGTCCTGCTGTGTTGGTTGCTTTCTTAGACCATCCAACCAGGCGAATCTTTCCTGTTTCCGGGATACGTCAAGAGAAGAAAGTGCTTCTGAATCCGTAATAAATGGTGATAATATAACACCGATTGCCGTAATATTAGCGGCAACAACTGAAAGAAAGCAGTGCCCTCATCTGTACAAAAGTGCTTTTATAGAATGAAGTTCATTAATTAATTAATTAAGCCGCGAAATAAAAAATACTCGTCAACGTGTAATAGACAAATAAACACAAAAGAAAACAATGGAATTAGGGTCTACTAATGTGTATTAATAATAGTCTAGTATCTATTGCACGGGTTTAATGACTTCACTCTAACTGCCCTAACAAGGTAAAAAAAGCTGTAAAAGCTAACTTCAAACCATCTTAAGGCCTTGATTCTGTTAGAGTTTCTATCTTTTTTTCTTCCTTTCAGTTATTTAAAGCACTGTCGACTCACTGGTATACATACCCTGCCGAACCCAAACCAGGTGTTTAGGTGTATTATGTGTGCCTGGGCTACGACATTTGCTAAATTCAGAAATATCCGAGTATTTTTGAAGCGATACTTGCGAATTAAAAAATCACTGAATTCGCTCGCAATTAAGTTGGAGTCACCTTAAAATTACTTACCATCAAGTGTCTTTACCAGCTGTGGACGGCTGTATATTGGTTTCCTATTGGCTCTTGACGTGTCAAAAGCAATCACTCGTATAGAATATTTTGTTTTCGGCTGGAGTATGTCAATCACAGCTGATCTCGAATTCATAGCCCTGGCAATCTTAATGCGTGTACTTTTAACCCTTTTACATATAACCAAGTAGGTGTATTTAGAACCAGGATGGCGAGATGGTATTCGGGACCACGAGACACGGAATGTTCCTGGATTATTCTTAATGACGGAAAACTTCCATTTCTTGTTAACCACCTCTAAAATAATAGACAAAAAGTTCTAACAAAATTGTTGAATGATAAGGCAATCAAAATGATCATTATCTATGCACTAATATACGTACGGTTTTTTTCAGACATGCTGAATGCGTAGTATCTCATTTTAAACCCTCGGGATTTGGCATTGTAAGCCGAGAAGTAAGTCACCTTTGCAGGTATGGTTGCAACAAAAGGAGAGACAGGTTTAGGTTCGTAGTGCGGGACGTCAAGAAATCGAGTATTTGACCCATATCTTAGTTTAAGACTAACTTTCCTGTAAGATAATATTATGAGATATCAGACAATTATTAAGTAAAAACCATGCCCATTAACTATAGTAGAGTGATTTTCATAAACCCGCGAAACCGATAACATGTGGTTACTGTGTAATAGTGAAACGACCACAAAAGAATACAATGGAATTAGGGTCTACTAATTCGTATTAGGCTAGTGTGTATTTCACCGGTTTATGAAAACCACTCTATTAGTTTCTTTCAAAATAAATTTTTTTTAAAAAAATCGCACTAGTTCAGGGGACACTTTTCACTCGCACATACCACATTCACTATTCTATGCACATAACACTCTTGAAGGAGAAACGGAGAGAGAAACCATAGGGACCCACTCAATAGCCCACCTCCGAGATATGCTTCGCTTTTCACGCACAAAGGTTTCAGTAAGAGGCTACATGCTAAATTTAATTTATTCTTACCGCCTGTCACGAATGACTGAGCATTTAGCACGTAGCCTCGTACTGAAACCTTTGTGCGTGATAAGCGAAGCATATCGATCTCGGAAGTGGGCTATTCAAACTCAATTCCCATATGGTGTCCGCAGGGCTCGAACCCGCAGTGATCCGTGAACCTTTGGACCTCAGTCGTTGACCAAGTACATTTATTTAATACATCAAATGAGATCATTGTGTAGGCAAGAGTAATATCAGAGCAATACTCAGACTAATATCAGAGGAAAGGAAATATCTATTCTTATTTCTCAATTGACACGGTTTTCTTTGTTATTCACAAGGCTTTATTTTTGTTATAACCCTCATTATAAATGCGAGGTCAATATATAGTTATTAACCCGGTTAATAACTATATATAGAACGTTCGCATTTATAATGAGCAACATTTGATAGAAAACCTTCTCAATTGAGAAATAAAATACTTAATTACCTCGAACGTCGGCAATAAGCCTATACATCCCTCGGGCCTGCGGCCCTCGGGATGTATATGGCTTATTGCCTCCGTTCGAGGTAATTAACTCTTACTTACCCGAGCCAATTCTTGCCAAATAAATCAAAGTCTTCAATATAGAAAGCGATACGTGCACGTGTTACACACGGTACTTTTGATCCCGTTCGAACCAATAGTTGACACGTTTTTGCTGGAACTTATATTTACTGCTTCTTTCTTTGAGATCTATGCTCAGTACATGTGTGTAAGAATATATCCCT